TAGTAGAGTAGCTCTCATCCCACCACCACCGAGGCAAGCATCGCGCCTTCGGTCTGCTAGCCCTAGCCGCCCGGCCCTCTCCACTGCATCTCCCTTGAAGCAAAGTCTCACTGTTCACGAGGTCAAGCAGCAGGTGTTGCAAAGTAGTATCTGGACTCGTCGCGCATCGTCGCGCATCGTCGCACATTGTCGCCAGCACCGGGAGAAGAGAAGGTCAGATACGCGGCGCGATAGCAGATAGCACTACGTTCGAATATAGTGCTCCGCCACAGAGTACGACTACTGGCACGTACGAAGCGTAGGGATGTGTCGAAGTCCTGCAATGCGTAGGTTGTAAGTGAGCCTGAGTGCTCTCGCTCCGTAATGTAAGCTTGAGCGGGAGCTGACCTCGTCGCACAGCCTGAGAAGACAACCGATGAAGCATGTGGGCGGTGTTCTTGCATGGACGCTGTCAACTTGAAATAGATAACAATAAGGAAGTACGACGAACTCACCTGTCTGAAACGTAGAAGCCGAGGTACACGGGTACACGCCACAAGGCGGATACGTTGTCCGAGGGACCGGTCACAGAAGCTACGCGGATTGGAGCTTCGAACGTACGGGATGAAAAGAAGAAGTCGTTTTTATCTGTAGATTAGCTGCAGAAATATATATACACCCTTGCTAGAAAAAATGAAGCCTTAGCGTCGACATACACAATGTGGACCACTAGCGAACAGACCGACTTCTTGTACACCAAGCTTCCTGACTACTTCTGCTACCAACGCGATGGTCGCCTGATCCACTTCTGGCCCAAGCTTGTCCGTGAATGGAAGGAGCGCTTCGGCGATGAGACTGGTAAGCACGATCGGTCTGACGAGTAACATGTTTCTGTACTCACTAGAGTTTTCGTAGACAAGTCGGATGGACCTGGCGTACAAGACCCTGTAATCGTCGCGGACGAGCCTGACCCCGCTCCGCAGGCGGCGGCGACAGGTCCGACTTCTCCATCGGCTACGGCGACTAGCTCTCCCGCTCCAGTCAAGGCCACGACTGAGGCCTCCTCGACGGCGGCCATGGTCAACACCGCTATCACGCCTGAGGTCGGCGTCAACACTGAGGCGGCGACTGAGGCCTCCGGCGCGGTCAACACCGAGGCGACCACACAGGCGACCGAGGCCGGCGCTACCGCTATCTCTGGCACAACTGCCAGGGTTCGTCGTGGCCCACCTCCTCTTATTGACGTAAGTCCTTGAAACGTCAAGGTTATGCATTTACTTACAGCTCGTAGCGTCTTAAACAGTGGTTCAGCAACCGTCGTGGGGCACGCTCCGAGGTTCCGGCTCGCAAGCGGACATCCCTCCCGCTCAACGGCAAGGCCATGCGCAAGCCTCTCGTATACCAGATCTATCAACGCCTGTACCTCGATAAGCTCAAGCCGATTGTCAACGAACGCTATGCCAAGTACCTTGCTACGATGCCAGTTGGCCAGCGCCCACAGCCACTCGTCGCGTTCCGCAACGCGCTGAGCAAGGAGCTACTCGAGGCCGAAGATCAAGTCGTACGTGACCACGTCTACTCCGAGTGGACGAACGTGAAGGGCCGGGCTACGAACACGTCGTCGGTGAAGGCGGAGATGAAAGATGAGGAACTTACTGACGACAACAAACACCAGATGCAGCTTGCCTACTTCGAAAAGTAAGTGGCCGCATCGTGATACTAGAGCCGCGATGCTTACGCGTTCGTCCAGCAACATTGGCAATCTTAAGGCGACACTCCAGACCGTCTTGCGCGACATATATCTGCAGACTGGTTGGGTCCTGCACATTCAGGGCGGCGGGCGTCGTCCTGGGCGTGGCGGTATCATCCAGTGCATCTCGTCAGTACAGCTATTCTACGAGAGCGGATTGATACTCACGCCTCTCTTGTAGCGCGCACACTCGGCTGCCCGACGGGCGCAACTTTGCCAATTACTACGTCGACTACATGGACGAGGTACAAAAGCCTTTCGGCGACTGGATCGTGTCACTTTTCCGTCAGTATGGTTATCACGCTCGACGCACAGCTTCACTCACGCCCTTGCAGCTCCGAAAGACCAGGCTCACTTCAACCTCGAGAATCCGACTGCTCTCTACGACGCGACGGGCGATGCCTCTACTATCCTTAAGGAGAGCGCACAGGGCAACGTTCTCAACGGTGTCGAGCATCTCGAGTCCATCGCCGTCGACGCCTTCCCCATTCGCACCGAGCAGGACGCTGACACGACTGCGACGAAAAAGCCGAAGCCCCGTCCGGTCAAGCGCAAAGCCTCCGGTAACAAGCCCGCTTCTCCCACGGCGCCGGCCGCAGGTTCGAGCTCCACGGCAAAGGCGACAAAGGGTAAAGCGCGTAGCGACGATCTCATCGCTCGCCCGGACTCCGACTCCGACAACGACGAGGAGTCCGCTTGGGCCCACGTCGACTTCGACAACCTCGACAAGGAGCCGGAGCCGGTCATCGAACAGCCTGTTGCCAGCCAGCCAGCCGCGCCGCCCACTGGCACCGCCTACGAGCAAGCGGCTTGCGCGCGTGTTCTGCAGAACCGTAACCTCCTTCTCCAGGTGACTGCGCGCGCACGCGAGGAGCTCGGCCTCGCCATGCCGACGCCCGATGCGCCTTTGACCCAACCACCCGCCTTCGAGATTGAACCTTCGGATCGCTCTACGCGGTATGTGTTCTGCGTCTCTGGTTTTATAGCTTGCCTAACCTGTTGATGTAGATCAGCGAGCCGTACACTATCTGCGGCGAGCTCTCGAGCGCCGTCGTCAACACGCACAGAGAAGTATGTACCAGTTTTTCTACATGCGCTGCCGGAGATTGATTGCCTACAAAGCGAGACAGACGGCGACTTCGACATGTTCGACGACGACAAAGACACCATCGCCACGTACAAGTCTCTCGCCGACATGGTCGACGCCAAGCAATACCCGCTCTGGGAGAGCATCATTGACAAGGCCAAGACACTTGAACGTATTCTGGGATATCCGGTGTCAACGGTCAGTGAACCACGCGCCTTGAGCGTCTATAGAAGGTACTGACTTCTCTAATAGGATGCGAAGCATCGCTTCAGCGTCAAAGGCCGCCCATACGAGGTCGGCGCCTGGATCAAACGCCACCGCAGGCTCGCGCTCGCGCCCGCCATCGACGACATCCCCCTCTTCTTCTCGCAGATGGCTGACTGGTACATCGACGCGCAACCTGCTGGGCGAGGGACTGAGTTTCCGCTGCAGCGCGACGAGCTCAGCGCAGACGATTGGACTTGCCTTATCCGAGGCGGCGCTAATGGTTGGCAGATCTATCTGATCGCCCTGACGTGGTGGTACGACTTGCTCGACGAGGAACGCGACGCCTGCGACTTCGAGCAGCTCCTCAGCGACGTGGACTGGGTACTTTCGCGCGTACTTGACTCCGCTCGCAGTCGCGCGGGCTCCAAGCGCGTGGGGTCCGAGAACACGCCCTACGCAAAGCGGTAAGTCTTCGTCTTCTCATCATGATACGATATGACTAACGGGTCTCCTATTAGGGCAAGGGTGTGAGCGCGCGGCCTCTCGTTTATCGTAGAAATGACTTGCCTATTCTGTATATTCGTTTTTGACTCGACGCGTTGAGTGCCGCTCAAGCGGTGTCCTCAACGCGTCAATACATCATTGCATGCGCATTATAAACCTGTGTGACTAAGACAAGACCGCGGTCTGCCGCGCGTGAGTACCAAATCGCCTCAGAAAAGCGCGAGCGACATTCTATTAGAGTCAAACTTCGAGTCAGACAAAAGACGAGGTCACCGCTTGGGGCGCTCAGACAGTAGGTTCAGTCGTCCGTTTATTATCAAATCGCAGAGACGGTAAGCTAGGTACATACGACAGAGCCCAGGACTCAAAGCCGGAGGAATAGATGCTAACGGCACCACATATACGCTCGACTCCCACTCGCGCTGCCTCCAATCGATACTCGCAAATGGATAGTGCTTGCGGGCAAAGCCGGTGCATCGAGCTGGCCTGAGGGTGAGTAAAATGTAAGACCAAGAATAACGTGCTACGCACTTTGTTTATAGTGGGTGCAATTCGCACGGCAGGTACCGCACTTCAAAGTGATTAATGTACACCGGACAGCTATAAGCTAGGTGATTAGGTGCTACAAATATACTATGAGAAGCGTATACTTACCGCGTTGACAGCGGGGCGTAGGAGGCAGCAAGTGGTGGGCTAATGTGAGCTGGCGTATCGCGCGCCGAGCACGGAGAACACGACGGCCTTTGCCGAGCACGGTTCCCGCGCCCCCGCAAAGGGAAATATCCCGGATATTCGATGCGTGAGGCCGGCGCAGCTATTTCTATGTGTACTGCGCAGCTATTCATTACGCCCCTGAGACGGACCTAAGATATTGAGAGCTGTAAAATTAGTATGTCCGAGCTTGCAGCTCTTTATGAGCCCACGGCTGCTTGTCCCGACCCCGCCCGCGACCCGATCGCTGCGGCGCGGCGATCTCGGCATTCCCCGAGCATTCCCAGCTAATCAACAGCAAGAACATTCTATGAGCCTTGCTATTACTTCTTGCTGCAGTCATACTTTTCCCTAGCTAAAAGCACACAACACTTCTTGCTATAGCTGTCTATCATATTTATTTCTTGTGCATCTATCACAGGGAGCCGTTCCGTGAGCTTGGGGAACCGCGAAAACGTGACCAATGGAGGGTAAGCGCGGGGCGCAAAGCCGTAGAGGAGCTCGAATGGTGATTTGCCCGGCGCGGAGTGGACTTGGGAGTTATGTATGAACTGGGCAATGGGAAGCCAGTCCACCCAATCGTCCTGCCGATGGTTGCAGAAAGCACGAAGGTACTGTTCCAGTTCCTGGTTGAAGCGCTCCGTCTGGCCATCCGTCTGAGAGTGGTACGAGGTGCTGAGGGAGGACGTAACGCCAAGCTTGGTCAGGAGCGTGCGCGTGGTATCGCTTGCAAACTGACTACCCCGGTCTGAGATGAGCTGTTCCATAAGACCTGTATGTGG